TAAAAAACACATTTTTACAAAAAAAAAACCCAACACACCATATTCACACCAGGTGTTGTTTTCATAGTCATCTTAAAAAGAACAAGTCAAACAGTCTAGCAGGTTGTAAGTGTGATTAACTCACATGTTTGGACACCCAAACAAACCCATGTAAGGATCCAGTACATCCTGCATGACAATACATCTGTTTGATATGAGGAAAAAAACTTCTTACAGGTTTAGGACCCAACGTGACATGGCAAAATGCAGATAACATGCAAAATAACACAACATGCTGCAATGTGAAATATACGGTGAAATATGATACACAATATATTCCACTGCTCATGTGACCTTCTATTCTACTTTGTTCATTGGGTTCAAGCTTGTGGCCCATCCATAAGATCCTGTGACTTTGTGGGCCAACATTTCTCACTTCCTGATTTATCGAAATACAAACAACTTCTGTTCAGGTTATTGATCAGTTAGGCAGTTAGGTCAGCGCTCGTTCCAAATGATTCGAGATATCTTGCAGAGAATGTGCAAAGCTTTTACCGGCTCACACATATGGCTTCAGTTGACGTTTCTTGGAGACAAAGATACTATTTTTTTGTCTATAGGAAAAGCCATGTACGGTGGTGGATCAGAGTTTGAGCTGGAGGGGGTCTTACAGGTCTGTTTTACAGTAAAAGAGTCCCTGTGGAACAATGTCCTAGATTCCCCACAGAGATCCCGTAGAGGCTCTGAAAAATGACATCAGACTCATAGTTTGCCAAGAGCACTTCTCAGTTTCTTGGTGATTTATGTTTTAGGTAGTCCACTAAACTCTGAAATATTCCTACAGAAAGTAAACCCAGCAGGATCAAGTTGGATCCAACGAGAAGGGCAATGAGGAGTTTGATTAAGTTTCATGTTTTCATCCCTCTGGTTGAACAAATCAACAGTAGTCATAACATCTCATGTAGTTTCATCTATTGTTAGAACCCATTCCATCTTTGAATATAAGGTAAAGACACAAGTTTTATCGTCAAAGTGCACAGATGATTCAGTTTGCACGTCCATAAAAGCCGGTTCCAGGGTTTTAAGAGATTTTAAACATCTGTTTATAAACTGTCTCCAGACACTTTGTCTGAAGGACAAAGTCTTTGACGAGAGAAACTGTAACAGCAGATTACGTGTATGGAAAAATAACACCGCTCATTGTGTGTGTGTGTGTGTGTGTATGTGTGTGTGCGTGTTAATTAGGGCATTTAAAATGGCCTCCCAACACCCAACCCCACATGAAAGACAGGAGGTGGTGGGGGTTGTAAAATTACCCCCCTATCCCCAAGTTGCGTTTGTTGTGACTACAATACAGCAGTAAAGTGGAGATCTGGATGCTGCACCCTTGGAGTACAGTAACTTTTTCCAAAGGTCTGGTTTATGCAGGGGCAAGTGAGCAATCAAACACATGCAGGACATGCACACGCACGCACACACATACAATGTGAAACCTGTCGTTGCTGTGATACTCAACCTGCTTTTACGCAGAGTTCATAAAACAGTAGCAGCCTTAAAATCTATCTTATACTGATATATAATTGCAATAACTCATATGATAGTAGAGTGGTATGCCAGTTATATTCTGAGTTAGTGAGTGAGCAATAATTTTGTTAAAATATATTTCACATTCTTACAAGGTGGATACTATTTTTGAATACTAATTTCTCTGCACTATAAATGATAAATCCTGAACACAACAGGTTACACCCCATCACACATGGAAACACACACACTAAATTACATTACACTATTAGGATATACCAGCATAAAAGCAATGCAATAAATCAGTTCATAGTTAAACGGAAATTAAAATGCATAATCTCAATAATTTGATTTAGACCACTGGCATCCACTTACCAATATAGTGTATAGTATAGTCCCAGTTTTCAGCCCTAACTGATTAAATTTTATCATTAACATCTGTTATAGATTAAAATAGATGTTAAACTTCACAGCAAGTACTGTGAACTGTGGGGGAGAAAATTCATACCCATGAATGGCAAAATTGTTCTAACATAAACACATAAAGTATAGTCAGATGATTTTATCGGTTTGACTGGGATGGAAGGGTAAACATCCGGGGACCATAGAGTGGTACAGTCGATGCATTATGCCAATGACTGACTCAGCAACAAATAGTAACATGAAGAAAGCAAACTTTATTTTAAGTTTCAGCATCCTTTCATTATGCCCACATACTTCTGCAAGTCTAAGTTGCACTCCTGAAAATAGCCATAAAACTGGGGCTTATGTTTTATTTAGCCAAAAATGGTAATACGAGGGGCGCACGAGGGACAGATTCTCAGCAAAAAATAAATATATGATTCAGAAGTTCGCATATCCAGACTGTTGGAGAGGATTCAAGGTTAATTTGGAAACCTTGGAAACATTAATACCAAAGTGCCGGGTCATTTGTTTGAACTTAACAAGTGGTGGTAAAATTAGGTCTACATAATGAACAGGTTTAATTAGAGAGCCATTTTAACAAGTCAGATTTGTTCTTTCATTCTCCGTCATCTCCACCCTCTTTAATTCTTCCACACAGCATGAAATTTGGATCTCAAAGGTTTGCCATTATAATGCTGATGCCGTCTCCCTTGTTTCACCACTTTTTTAATCTGTAATCAAATTCAAGCCAAACTGCCAAACTGCAATCGCTGGAAAAATCATCAGTCATTTCAGCTGCTGACTTGGTGCACAAAAATAGTATCTCTCCTCTGCCAAACCAACAAATCGCAAGGAAGTGTACAGTCAGTTGGTGAGATATGGTTAAACTCAAATGAAGCTGAGTAATAGACAAAGCCATTACAGAGCGCTGTTGTTGCAGCTGTTGCAGGGGGTGAAGAATGGGTTATGCCAGCTCTCAAGAGTGCAGTGTGGGAAAGAAGCTGTCAGGGGAACAGCAGTGTTGCATCATCACCATCGTTTTCACCTTGGATTCAGGTCAGTTGATTATAGTTCCATTTCAGTGCTCAGTCATTCAATGTGTTCAGCCAGCTGGCCTTTGATGCTGCTTTGTGTGGCCAATGCATGACAAATGTTGATAGTGTGCTGGAAGTCAACTGTAAATTACTATTTACCGCCATCTGCTGGGCAATCACGGCAAGTGTAAAACGAGATTTCGGATTAAACTTTAAAATCTTTTACTAAGTTGACTATTATCTACTCTTAACTTTAAGGAGCAAAAGATAAGCATAGCCTACATATAAAAAAAACAATGTGAGGACATGAGTATTCACCTGACATTACTGGCGACGTATTGCGTCGTTGCTGTGGTAACCACAACACGCTGAGAGAAATCAGTGATTGGGTTTTGCTAACATGAGCAGTGGTTGTAATTGTAACAGTTCAAAGCGTATGGTCTTGTAGCTTTAAAGCTCATGTTCTTGTAGCTTCGTGGGACAAAAGGACGGAGTCTTAAAGACGAGTGCAAAAACTCAAGATACTCAAAAGTAAGACTTTTGCAGAAATGTTTGTTTATTCTTTTAGCAAACACCAACATAGATATTAAGCGAACTAACGTTACTTGTAGCTAACTCGTTAGCTTTGTTGTAGGTTTTTAGTGGCTAACGCGTCATGTTTTAGCGGTTTGAGGGCATTATTTGTGCATGTGGAGAACTTTTACAGGAAAAATTGTAGCGGGGGTTGCCATGAATACGGCCAAAAAGTACTCTATCAGTATTTTACATGTATGATTATTAAAGATGCTAAACCGCTACATTTTTAATTTTACATATATTAACAGTCGCAAAAACGTTGGTTTTTGAAAATAATTATTTTAAATTATTAATATGCCCCCAAAATTGTGTGGTTGCACTAGTTTGTGCAGACTCAGAACCAGAATGTACTTTGATTTCCGCCACCCAAACACTTCCGACTCGAATTCCTTCAAAATAAAAGTGCAATTTTCACACATTTAATTGGTTCTACCCTGTGTTGTCTGTCTCTACTCTATCTATCATTATTATTTACTCATTAATGGTTTTAGAAAAGGAATACAGCCCTTCAAAGTCTGCATTGAAAAACTGCAGACAAAGACTGCAAACAACAAACCATTATATGTCATTGTTTTGGCTTCAGACTAAAACCACCCACATTTATAATTGATTTGTTTCTTGAACAATTTGTATTGACAAATGCTCCAGGCAGTTGTGTAGCAGTACTTTTTGCAACTACCCTGTGACCTTTCTACTGAATTACATTTTTAGAGTAACTCTCCTCTAGGGAAATTACAGAGAGTATGTACTGTATAGCTAAATCTAAATCTAAAGATATGCAGCTCACATAGCCTATTGCTGATGTTTTTGAAGTATCCTTTAACCATGTGTTCTGTTTCATAACTGCATTGCTCTCTCCCGTTTCTGTTGCTCTTCCTCCAATCATCAACCTTTCTATGTATACCCATCAATACATTGGTGGGTCATTAGTGAGTATATCTGAGCAGCAGGATAGCAGGCCTCCCAGCAGAGCAGAAGTGGACGTGGATGAACAAGAGGAGGATGAGGTGAAGAGAACAGAGGCAAATGCCCCTCTATTGGCCCTTGCACCTGATGCGTCGCTCCCAGAAGAGCAGCACTCTTCCAGTACTGATGTTTCTGCTACTCCTGCTTTCCAGTGCCTAGATGAGGTAAGACTCATCATAAGACTAAATTATCATATTTTATGTGAATGGGATTTTAGAGGTTTCATAGGGAATACAAACATCACATTTGTTGCAGTTGCAGTGACACTATTTACTCTAATTGCTTAAGTCATACAGGAATAGATTAGAGTATGAAAAGAGTATGTAGTGTTGTAGGGAACTAATGGATCTAATGCGTCTTTTTACAAACAACCAGTGCTAGTGTATTTAAGGACAAATTCTTCATAGAATAGAACTTGGTACTGTAAATGGGTTTATGTGCCTTACAATGTTTAAAACTTAAAATGTTTTTTAATGTTTAAACAAAAGTGAATGCTTGGAACTTGAAATCATCACATGGATGAGCACAATACTTTTTATTAACTTGATCGTCACATACAGTAAACAGACATTAAAGTCACAGACGCACAATTTGATCATTTATCTTCTGTGAAGCTGATATGAACTCATTCTTTTGTTGAGTTGCTTTATTGAATGAACATCTCATTAACCCATTTATGATGGGCATGCAGCACCTCATCCCTCCATTATTACAGGCGTCATATAGCCCTGGGTACTAGACGGCAGACACTTCAGAGTTTCTACTCGTGGTAAACTCATGCTAAACTTGTATACATTTTTGTATACATTTATTGAGAGTGATTCCAATACAGAAGATGCTTTGAAAATAGGCATCCATATGATTTAATTCTGCCAAACACTGCAATGTACACAGCCATGTAGTTAGAACTTTATTCATTTTTTTGATATAAAAACTGCATATCTTTTGGCATGACAGTTGAATATGAATGATAGAAAAGATCAATATTGTACACACACAAAGCTCCAAATACACACATATTTACTATGAATGGTCACAATAATGCACAGTCTTTATCACTGCTTAAATGTCAACAATCATTAGACTTTGTACTGTATGACCTATGTATTATATAAAAGCTATCATAACCTCACAAAATAAAATAAATACTGTACACATCCTTAAAGTCAAACATTTCCTTCCCCATCTTTCCCATTCACAGTGTGTATAAAATGGATTAAATGATGCTATACAGTTTTCTAACATTAGGCAGCAGTATTGTACAAGTGGTGAGTCGGTAGGATTTTTTTCTTTTCTTTTCTTTTTTTACACATGAAAACTGGTGTATGGCATCAACATCAAGAGATGCGCAGTAGTTCAGTGCACCCACAGCTATGGGTGGAAAAACTATTTAAAGTTTTTTCTTGCAGCATTGTCCTGCTCTGTGGCTCCTGTCAAGTAGAATTTACTAAAACCATCCATAATGCAGAATGTACTTGGGATGACCCAATAGAAATTTATCTCAGGCTACATGTTTATACTGGGATGTTTTATAATGTATAGAATAATGATACATTAGCAAAGTGTCCCAATGTTATTGAATAATGAAAAAGAAGCTATTACTTTTTCACTGCTGCCTAAAGAGTGCTGTGTATCACTGGTTGTAGGTTTTTTTTTTTTTAACAGTTTGACTCTGACCCCAGGATGAAGTCTTTCTCAATGAATTTCAGACGTACCCAAAAGTGTATCATCAGCTCTCATATACCTCACTTGAGTGGCTGCTGTTAATTATGAAACCATTTGGAGTGGAGAGAAATGATAGCTCATTAGTTTTTACTACTACTATGTGCTGTGCTGTGTCCTGACTGGGTTTATAGTGGGAGGTAGCAGGACAGAAAGTGGAGAAATGTCAGAGAAAAAGTGAAAAATCTCTCATGGTAACCCTCCATATAATATTATGGCCCCTGTAGGAGGCTGCCCTTTACACTGCATGTGTGGTTTTTTTATTAGTCCATCATCGTTCACAGTCCATCGTCCTTTATTGTTATCATTTTAATCCAACGTTTTGAAGGCCACACTCACTATAGTAGAAGAAAGTAATAGCACAGTTAAATTTTTTCACAATTATTTTTGTTATTACTGCATTCAAACTTCTATAGGGCTATAGGGCTTGTAGTCTGTTTCAGTGTACACGTATGCATGTGTAAATGTGTGCAAATGCATGACTATGCGCATGTTTATGAGTTTCTGAGTCTACTTGTTCTTCCATTTTATTTGTCTTTATTTGTGTCTTTCCGTCTATCCGTCTGACTATATTCATGAATAATTACCTGTCCTCTTAAGGAGCATAGTTCTTGGGCCGTATCATCATCTTGACAGTTTTGAAGGCCTGCCTGTAGTTTGTAGGGTAGTACTCTGTTGACATGTTGTGCCATGTTCCCCAGAAGATCCCGTTCCTGACTCCTTTGTACCTCTTGTGATAGTACTTCCCGTTGAGGTTGGCAGACATGCAGGCATCAAACCACCAGCCAGAGCTGTAGTAGGCGCCGCAGTTTCCGGAGGGGTACATGTCGTTGTCACGGTCGGGCGTGGAGAAGAATTTCTGGTCATGGTTGAAGTGCTTATTGAAACTGATGGCGTTCCCAGCGGTCCCACTACAGTGACACATCAATATATATTAGATGTTACTGTCCTTGATGAATATTGGATCACACATGCATGCACAGAATTTAATATTGTACCTGTATCCACTGACAGACAGCCGGTAGCGTAGGAACTCATTGGCCACGTAGAACTGGTCGTACTTTGCGTATTCTCGGACACCCTCAAAGTCCTCCAGCTCAATACGCAGAATCATGTCTTTAGATTTTGTCAGCAAGTGGATATGATCATTGCCCAACCAGAACTCACCTCTGCAGGAGAGCAGAAGATAGAGGAAGGAGGGGACAGAACAGAAGAAAATGAGGGATAGGATATAAACAAGCTCATATTCTTGTACACTTGATTAGAAATGTTGATACAGTCAAAATAAATGTACTTATCACCACAGGAGAGGAGAGGAAAGGAGAAGAAGCAAGGGGAGAGTAGTGTGATAGTAAAAGAAAGCTGGGAGGAGACATTATTCTTTCAGTGGGAGGTAATACTAGATCTGTAGGTGAGGTAACCATGGTTATTTCCCATATAAAATGAATTCCTAGAAAAGCAGAGAGGACAGTAGAGAAAATGAGCTGCAATTTGAATAAAGCTATAGTAGAAGCACTGTGTTAAAAAGAAAAATCATCATGAGAAGACTGCTTCCCTGTATTTTCTCCTGTTCCCAGATCTGAACTTTTTTTTTTGTTTCCTTTCAGTCATTAATTTTGGTCCACAGGTTTATGATCTGTTAAATGAGGTCAAACCTAATGTGGTGATATATGTTTGTTTTGTTGTTTTACAAGTGATAATCCATCAGTGATAGTGAAAACAGGTGGTGAACAATCAGTGGTAGGCAGAACAGGTGTGTGTCATTAGGCCCTCTAAACAGTGATTGACTGGGCACTCTCAAGTTGTGGAAGGAGGGTTAGAACTGAGTTTCTGTTAAAGTTGGTGCACTCATGGGTGTGCATTGGCGCCTATAAATACAGTAAGTTATATTTGTTAGCTGTTACAGAGGAATTAATGGTTGAATTGATGGTTTGTTTGTTATTCTGTTTTCTTTGAGAGCTTTGTATCATTCTAGCACTCCCCCATGATAACCTGAGGAAATGGTACGTTCTAGCAAGGAGAAGGTATAAGTCCTATCACTTGTGCATAGTGACATATTTGACAGTTTGCTGTGAGGTCATAGACTGTCAGATAGTTTTTCTCCTCTTATTTGAAATGTTTTTTGTTAAACCTCATGTGATTTACTTGTTTGTTTTTTTGCCAATATCCTCTTTAAAGTTTTCCAGAACATCAACTGTGCTTTATATGGGCTAGAGACACTACAGTCACCATACAGGAAAGTCTATGATTTGTGGTGATTATTATTTTCCACCCTCCTTTTACCCATGTGTTATCTGAGCCTTGTGTCTTGCATACAGATGGGAGTAAAAAAAAAAAAACACTTTGGCTGTCAGTGATTTGAAAATCTGCCAATCCAACCAACCAACTCCTTTATTGAACACGATATACTATAACAATATTTACAAAAAAAAAGAAGACCTTACAACACCAGCTGGAGGTCACTAGTTGTCTATAAAGTAATGTCCCAGAGTTTACAGACCTCATTTCAAAATTGTAGTTCCTAGTCTGAATCAAGGGTCTAAGGGTAGAGGGTGTCTTATTGTAAAGACATTTGTGGAAAATTTGTTTTGATTTTGGGCTCTATAAATAAAATTGACTTGACTACAGGCTTTCATTCCAATAGATCTTTTTCCCCTGTGCTAAACATGACTAAAGACCTATCACAGAATAACCTTGAAAAGATTGAAATCCAATACCTGAAGTTGCCGAAGCCCTTCTTATACTCGACCCAGGTGCGGTTGAAGCTAACGGACCCGTTGAGCCGTTGCTGTATTACAGTCCAGCCTCCTCCAAAGGACTCCATGTCACAGTAGACCTCAAAAGTCCCGTTGCGGGGATCAGGAGTCACACGATACACACCGTTCTTCCTTGTCTCCAGCACATTGTAGTCTGAACAGTCCCGAGGGGCTAAGATGACTGTTGGGAGAAAGAGAAAAGAGAGGACAATTTTAAGGGGATGTTACAGACATTCGATAATCTTTTCACTTTGCTCTGGCATTTTTCTCTGCCAAACCAAGGGACTGTAATAGAAACAGCCCCTGAGGCTGGGGAAGACTGAAGAAAGGAAAAGAGAATGAGATGTCTTTTGTTACAAGACTGTTCCCCATGACTTAACATAACAATTCCTTGTGTGAATCACACTAAATTTCAGCTTGTCGTGAAGCATAAAACATTTGTATCACTAAATACTGTCTCTTGGTAATCATTTCAGTACATCCCAGTCTATTCCATTGTTTCTCAGCATGGTGTCCCTTTTCTGAAAGTCGCATTGAGAATCAGAGGACTCCAGCATGACAGAAAGTGAGTGAAAGGACAAAGTCCACTGTCAGAGGATAAAAGTCAGTGACCTTCCCTTGTGCTGCACCACTGGCTCAATTCATTCCCTTCCCACTTATTCCTCTACCTCTTGCTCCTGTCCCCTGTGCTGCGCTGCAGGCCACTGACCCAACCCAAAACCAAGGTCCAAAAGCCCTTGTCAGTTAGCATTTGAGAGCTGAAAGGAAAAGACCTGTCAAAACGTGGGAAAGTGTAAAACTGGATTAGAGGGGCGTACCCCCTCCCTGCACATTCTGCACCTGGGGCCTAAATCATCCTGACATTGGGCAGGCAGCATGTGGACCCCTCCTGAGTTTGACGCTCTCCATTGCTGATACAGTTTTGTCATACTGTTAAATCTGTTTAGTGGTTTAGTAGGCTATAATAGAGTGAGGAGGGAGGTGCATTCTGAGCTCAGAGGACCAAACATCAGGTTTCTTGAGGTGCAGGGAGGAGTCTTGAGCAAAAAGTGTTTGTGCTTCGAAGTGCAGTCATAGTACTTCCTGGTAACATTAGTGCAAGGTTAGACTTGAGTTTTCTTCCCTCATGGTTAAATCAGAAGGTATTTGTAACAAGTATATGGCACACAAAATAAAAGCACCATTCATATATTTGGTTGCTTTGACTTATAGCCATCCACTGTATTTTCCTTTCACATTACACAAAAATACTTGTATTGCAGACGGTAGATCACTCCATATGGAAAGAGTCGAGTGTGAGGTTGAAATGTATCCTTGTCACGTTAACAGCTCTGTCTGCGCTCGGCATTCAAAGTATTGACCTGTGAATTCTTTCAGTGTCTCCTTCAAGTGTCTGCCTGTGTAGATTCTCCACTTCACATCTTCCTCTCTATTTGTCCCCATCTGTCTGACCGGGCTGCCAGTGTGCCTAGACAGACGAGAGCCACCTCATCTCACTACCACTGGCACTGTGCCTGACCTAAATAACTCTAATATGAGTGACTTACTGATGCCCAAATCTGACTGTTAGCTGACTGGCTGTCTTATTGTTGAGGTGGCTGAGTAACAGATTGACTGACATGCTTTTACAGATGACTTCTTGACCGCTTGAATACCACATTGCTTGTTTTACCTTAAACAAATAAATGATTGACATAAAAGGAAGACAGCTGTGTTATCAAGGAAGTATGCCTTGTGACAAACAGTACTCATGTAAGATTAGCACCTGTAATGGAAGGAAATGTGTGTCCAAAGTGATAGTATAATCTTTCCCTACAAATACAGCTTAAATCGAATACCGCTGTCAGTTTTAATGCGATGAAACCATCATCAAAAAGCAACACCCTTCCTTTAGGAAGTTGTGTCACCACATGTCAGACAAGCAGTTCCTGACAATGTAGCAGACTAGGCATCCATTCTCTTTTGTCAGTAATTGACTTAATGTAGCTGAACAGCAACATGAATTGCTGTCCATTCACCTCAAGGCCCCAATATATCTTGCAGGAGTGAAAGTGAAGATTAGCTCTTGCAGCGGGGATGGGAATTGGCAAAAGGGGGGGGGGGACAAATGTGTGAGCTGTGAGTGATAAAAGCATCTTGACATACGTATTAGTCCTGCTTAATGGAGAAATTGCAATCCCGCATTGGTCTAAAATGTCTGGGTATAAACGCTAATGCTTTATTAGCTACACGTTTCTTCAATAGGTTTTGTATTTTTTTGCTTGGAACAAAAAAGTTTGAATGAGAAGTTAGAAAAATGTGTAGTTTTTTTTTTTTTTTTTTTTTTTTTTTTTTTTTCTGTGTGTGTCCTTAAATGTCTTTCCAAAACTCATGGAGTGTAAATGTTTGAACTGTAGTGTAGCTTAATGAGCTGTACCAGTGTGGCTGGTTTCTAAATCCCTGCTCATGTGTGAATACTTAACATTTACTTGCAAATGATCCATCACCACTGCTTCCACCTCTTATCTAGATATAAACACACATCTGTCTCGTAGGACATCTCTTTAAAATGTTATGTCCACTTGCCTGCCTTGCTCAGGATGAAAACAGAATTTAAATTTAGTTTGTTCAAATCTCTATTTAACAGTTATTTAATCATTTCCGCTACAATTTGGCAGCTAGATAGTTTAAGGATTCAAGAGAACCATTTAACCATGAGTTGCTTCACTAAGCACTTTTGACATTGTGATAAACAATCGGAAAACATTAAACTCTCGAGGCCTTTTTTACTATGTAGTATTAATGGCAAGTAGAGGGGCATATTAATGCAGCATCTGGTATTAGTTTCTAAAGATGAAGAATTAAGACAGTTCACATTGTGTGCTAAAATTGGACAGAATTTGCATTGGTATACAAGGAAAAAGTTTTCAGTTTTTAATGTTGTTTTTGATTAAGAAGAATCACAAGAGTAAAACAATTACAGCATTGTTTAGACTCATGTTGTGAAACTATGGAGGTCTTATCATTAGACTTTGGTTTATTTCCATGGTAACAGCTGTCTCTTGTCTACTGCCTTCAGATTCACTTCAGACACCATCAGGCATGATTTCCTAACTTGTAGCAGAATAATTTGCCGGTTCTTGAACTTAACATGACAGATTGATGTACAAAGACAAGTGTTACTGACCCTGTGTGCCCTCCGTGACTAATGTTAGGAAAGCTGCCTACATTACTTCTTGTGTTGTTGGCAAGAGATAATGAGAGTTAGTTGTTTTATGCAGGAACGAGCACTCAAGAGCATGACCTCCAGTGCAAAAGAGAGGGTTAGGGTGGGGGGGGGTGAGGGGAAGAGGGAAGGCACCGGGAAAGGGGATTAAAGAGAGGGAGACGGGGAAAGTTAGGGCAAGAGAAGATAAATGAAAAACAGCATGCAGCAGGGGAGAAAAGACACGAAATGGAGAGATGAATTAGAGATGTGCTTCGGATACATGTAAGAGAGAAGGACCAGGAATTGAAGGGGAGTTTGAAGGAGAAAGAGGCAAGAAAAAACACAGACGTGAAAAAACTAGTATTCCCTTCACACCACTGTCCCAGCTAATCTACTTAGAAATAAGCTCACATCTGTTTTCCACATAAAAGCCCCAATATAGTGTCACATTCACTCATGCAGAATCGGGATATTATTCAGCTTCAGTCTGAAAAGTGGCCTGCATTTCAACTGTGCCCTCATCCAAATAAGCTTTTACACCAATGTAAAGTGGAATGTCTGTTATGCTTAGCTAGTTTCCAATCCCTGCTGATAAGTCTCCATCATGAGATTCCACTCCCTTAAGCTTATTTCTTAAATGTTCCCACCATGTGGTACCATAGGCGCCAAGTATCTGTCTCTCTCTCTTCTCCCTCTCCCCTTTGTTTGAGTTTCTGCATATGGACCATCATGGTGGAATGTCAGGGCACTTGATTTAGTTATATAAGAGGTCATTTGAATTCTCACTTTGACCCAATGTTGTCATATTGCTTCACTCATGTACCGTATGACCTCAACCGTAAGTTATGTTGCTGGGGTAATTTTTGCTATGGCTACAGTGAGTAGGAGGGCTCTACTGTAGTTATGTTGTGTACATTGGAAGATTTTGTAGGCATGATACCCTCACTGCAGTATCTTTACAGCATCTTTTGGGAAAATTTATTTTCTCCTGATTATACAAGCCTCCCCAAAATATGTAATGTTGTTCTCACTGGTAATGGGAAGGCATGTCGCAACACACCATTGTGTGCTGTTGAGAAGGTCATTGTCAGCCTGTAAGATTTTATTTCCCATTTCCCATTTCCCAGAAAGACGGGCCTCATTGGGTGAAGGTGACCACCCAGAGTTGGGTTGTTTGTAGTGATTACAAGTCGCCATGTCCACTTAGATGTGATTGGATAGATCCTATGCCAAAAAAATTCACCTCATAGCAACCCAAACTGCAGGATGTGTTTGGAGTGTGCCAGAATTTCATTACCATAATAACATCTGTGGTGAATTTGTGAGAGTAGAAAAGAATAGAGACCAGGCTTCTTGATCATACCCAGAGGGATTACAAAAAATGCATGAGCGGAGGAGAGAAGAAGAGAGACATCTTTGAAATAGCAAAGATAGAATAGAATAAAACAATAGAAAACGCAGAGAATGGGGTTTTGAGTTGTAAGAGAATATATATTTGGTAAATAGCTGAGAAGATTGAGAGGGCTTTCAGAGGACAAGGTAAAACAGAAAAGAAAAAGTAATTGGAGAAAAGGGCTGGAGCCCTCAAAAAACAACAAAAACAAGAATGCTGCTAAATTAATCTTACTAAAAGCAGGCTTACACTGAGGGGTATTCTGTACTGCACACTGGGTGGTGCAGGTGGACCTGAGCTTGTTGACCACTCCAGTGATGTTCTCCACTCGTCTGTCCACCATAGCCTGCACGTTGTCCATGTTGAGCAGGTTGAGCCCCTCCAGACGACCCTGCAGAGCCGAGATCTGGCTCCTGGCATTGCGCAGGCTGGCTGACATCCTATTCAGCTTCACCTGGGAAGGGCCAGAGCAAGAGGGGAGGGTGAAGGGGGGGGTGGGGGGGATTATTTCTGTGCACCGAATACAAAGCAGGTGGATTACTGAAGTCACCAGTCTCCTTCATTGTTTTACCGGCCAATTTGAATTTTAGAATAGAAACAGGTCTGCGTGATGGTTGGCCGTCTGCCAGAGTGGCTGTGAGAGTCAACAAGCGTACCAGACAGAGCAAAATTTACTGCCATTTGGCTGGTGTCTAAGGCTGATTCCCCACCCTGTTTACAGTACCAGGAATTTTCCCTGGTGGATTGCTGCCAGGTAGGACTTTACAGGTCTGTTAACATTTGGTCAGTTTACATTCCAGCTGGGTACATTTGACTGGGCATATTAAGGTGAATTTGTACCTAGAATGTTTATAAAGCATGTTTTACTTTAGTTTGTTTAGATCAGTCTTCACAAGGCTGATAAATGATACTGGTCATGGTGGAGTTTTGATGGACATATAAAGAAACTGGTGCAGTACCACTATTACACTGTGTGTGCAGACCTCTAAATTATTTTTTTACTGTGTGCTGATGAGGATCTCATAGTAAAATGCCAGATTTTGTTGTCTTTTTTTTTATATGACAGCAATTAAAGAATTGCCTACCCTAACTTGGATTAGGCTGACAAAGCATACACTTAAATTATTCTGATATCAAAAAAATGTAATATTGTTTCATCTTTCTACTTTGAGAATAGCATTCATTCATCAATTTAAAGTATTTTTAAAAATGTCTGTTTTATAGAGACTGGACTGCCTCTTACCTGCATCTCCTGCACAGTGCTTGGGCTTGGTGTAATTTTCCCAAAAATAGAACCTTGTCCCAGTCCAGTACCGTCCACAGTAGCTCCAGGGACCATCCCATCTCCCCGCTCCTCTTGGCTAGATGCACTTTGCACTTCCTGTCCTGTCAGGTCCAATCTAATTCCCTCCACACCATCCCTCTGTCCTTGGTCAGCTTGCTGATGCCCAAAAGCTCCATTGCCTCGTGCCCCACGGCACTCCTGGCACCCACTCTTCAGCTTGTTCACCACCTCCTTCAGACTCTGCAGCTCCTTCATCGTCTTCTCCAGCAGCCTGAACTGCTTGGGTAGATGGATGGTGAGAGGAGGTAAGGTGAGCTGGTACGGGCAGTCCTCCCCCTCCTCTGCCCCGCACTGGCCCGAGGGTCTCAGTTTAATGGGGCAGGAGGTGGGGGTACTAGATTCAGATCCGAAAGTGTAAGGTCCTCTAGCATCCCATTTTTGGTGTGAGGTGACGGGGAAGTCCGCTGCCCGGCTGGTGCGCGGCACCAGGGTGGCTGTAAGCAGGAGACTGGCACAGATGCAAAGCACAATTGTCCTCATTTTTCTGCGTGAGAATTGTAAAGAAGAAATAAGTCTGCGTAAAGTGAGTGTCAGCAACTGCCTCTGATATAAACTTAAAGAGTGTGTGTATAATAGTGTGTGTTGGTGTGTGTGTGTGTGTGCAGCTGTTGTAGGTATAGAGTATGTGAATGAGTGTCCAGTATCCTATTGGTTTGTGTGTGTGTGTGTGTATGAGCGCAGCCTGCAGGAGGGAGAGAGCGCAGGGGAACTGCCGCTGCCTCAGATAGCTGTGTCATTAATATCAGGACGAGTGAGGGAGGGAGGGAGCGAGAGCAAGAGGGAGAGTGGTGAGTTAGAGAGGATGGGAGGGGCAGGACTATTGCGTAATGCAAAACACCATATCAGCAGCATTGTGAAAAACCACAGAGATGCGGACAGAGATTATGGGAGTGTGGGGAGTGGGGGGGCAGTGAGCGAGGTGAAGAGAGAAGGTACGTCCTTTTCCTGCAGTCGGTGGATGCTGCTGTTCTGCCTGACTCTGAAGTCTGCTCATTTCCCTGAAGAGCGAAATGACTCGGGTAGTGCACATCCCCTCAACTCACGTTACAGTGACGTGGTTTTAGAGGTTCACAACATTTAAAGGCCACATCTTGACCCACTACAGATTCTGAAGCCTTACTTAAAACCCTGACTCGCCCCCACACCAGTCACTCTCTGAGTCAATATAAGGGTCAGATGGGCACAATTACTGTAAACTCCATGGATTACCAGCAGCAACAATAGAGAAAATTCATTTCAATTAGTATAAACAACTTTTTTTCTGGATTTAGAAGGCTTGCTCAGGATGTTGCAAATTAAGCATTAGAGACTTATAAATTCACTTTTCCCTGAATCCCAATACACATCCTTGAATACTGAGTGCCTGCCAATACTCTATCCTGATCTGATTTAAACTTTCTAACATAATACACCTGCAGAGTGCACACTTCACACTACATTGAAATGAATAAATCCAATCCAATGTAGATAAGATATGCTCTGATGGCTAAGTAGTGCTTCATTAAGTAAATGTAGCATACAGTACATCACAGCTTATACTTGATGGTTTCCTATATTTTGTTAGTGTCTTGTTTTGGAGAGATGTGTGTCAGCCTGACAGTTCTTTCTAGAGAGCCTCTCTTCATCTCCAGTGTGAAGAAAATATGGAAATTCAAAAGCAATTTTAAACCAACCACACTTGGATTGTCACCAGTGATGGATTTATGAACAGGATTACGTTGTATGTTTTAATGTTTAACGAAGCAAACAGATATTGAAGTCTTTAATCAACAATAAACAATACACTTTTTTTTGTATTTAATAATGATGTGGTGATGTGGTCATTTTTGGTGGTTTATAATCGACATAGCTAAAATTGCACTTGTTCTTTCCAACAAACATTATTCACACATTAAGGTAAATTCATCTCATACCCGGACAGAAACATGGAGTCCTGTTATAAAGTTCTTGTGGTTTCATTAAGTTGGCACTGATGGTGTGTTTATGGGCCATGGCTATTGTTTCAGTACATTCTGTAATTCATAACCACGGGTCCTGTAATTGGATTCTTTTTTCCAAGGCGTTAGTCATGCACTTGTCATATTTCTACAGAAGTGACACAGTTTCAGTAATTGATTTCATTTCCAGAAGTGGCTCTCAGCCCTGATGGAGGAACACTCCAGAAAGGAAAATATTACAGCACAAAAACTTCTAACAAAGTGTTTCAATCTGGCTGTAGGCTCAACTCCAACTCAAACAGTCAAAATGAGGACATGAAGGTAGAGATACAAACAGAAGGATGGTTCTCTCCATCACAGAGTGGAATGCAGTGCTGTGCCTCGTGGTGATGGTCATTATTTTTCTCCCTGAGGGTGCAGAGTATTAAAGCCCACAGCTTTTTTCTGTTACACACTTCACATACCTGCTGCATCACACACTTGTATTACTGGAAGGTTTTAGCGGTGCTCTGCAGTGCAGATCACATGCTTGCCATTGCCAAGTTGTGCACACGTGTATGTGTATATATATATATGGATGAGGGAGTAAATAGACAGGTATGCGTGTCCATGTGCCTGCTTAAATATCTTCCAGTGATTGTCTCCATCTCACTTCAAAGATGCTCGGCCACATGTGAGCCTCATGCCGCCACCCTGTAAAAGCCTCCAATACTCTATTCTGCTGAAGATAAGTCTTGGCACCAGAATTTAGAGGGGCTGCCTGAAACCGCTTCAGGCTGCTTCTCTCAGATAAATGGCCAGTGTTATGGCTCAGATATCTGTCGCATCACTGGTATGCTGTGTATGCTGCTGAAAACACAAAACTGACCTCTTTTTAAAATGTCGTTCAAAAATAGTGTAGCCTCAAAATCTGTTTTCAGAATTCCTATTTTTGTTTAAGAGCAATGAGATGATTTCACATGTTCTTCTAATCATCTTTTTTTGTATGAGATTACTTGATTGAAGTTGCAGTTAGAAATCAATTAGGACCAGATGAGTGGCTTAACATTTCAATCTGTAATGGTGAGAGATTAAGCTGTACTTCAAATATTTTAAACAGAAATCATATAATACTAGTCAAGTGTTTTCCTTGTAGTAATGTGACCTTGAATGACCGCTAATGCAAAATGCCTGAAAAACATCCAAATAAATCATATTGACAAGAGCCCTAATCTACATCATTCACAACATTTATATCTGTGTCCTTTCAGCCCTTGGAACGTGGTCTTGCGCTTCTGAGCGCATTTGACAATAGCCAAACAAACAATATAATGGAATGAATCTAAAAATATAATCGGTTATCCCTAATGTTTGAAGTTGGGGGGAGTTATCAGTGCGTGTGGGTGTATAATCGGACCATTTGTGTGTGTTCATTGCCGTTAGATTACCTGCTACGCAGTCCGACCTGAGATATCCTCAGTCCTGCAGCTCTTTGATACAGACAAGGCTATCCCTCATTACACCCCACTCTACCAACCTGGCTCTGAAGATAAGAGGGGGAACAACACCTGTCCTCTGTTTCTATCACTGTGGCACACACACAACTACCTGACCAAGGAGAAAAATTTCACAACAGCTTTTATAGATAATTTTCCCATGTTTGCAAAACTTTTGACCTAATATATTTTTCTTTGCTGTCTTTTGTTTTGTTTTTGCCAAAGTTTTGTCAGCCATGTATCTTTTTTTTCATACCTGATGGTACCTTTTTTTTAATCTCAAGAAATGCTGTTACTTATCATTATATATGGGCTATTTTCAATCATTACTCCTCTCCCTTTCAGACTGCAGATAGTTGGAGGTTTGTTCTTTATGCTGATCATGATAAGGTGTTCTGATACTATGATGATAATGGTTTATTCAGCCTAACTTGAGTTAAATCCCATTCACAGCCCCCTTTTATCAGGGAATTTGTTGTGGTCGATCACACTTTGAGTTGGTGAATCCAGACAGATATTAGTTTGTTTGTTATTTTGTTTTTGTTCTTTAGAACAGTAACTGAAATTTGAGCATATTATAGCAGAAACAAAGCAAAGTTTTGACTTATGAAATCCAAAACTCTTCTTGGAGTAAATCGTGATCTAGTTTTCAACCTCTGGAATTTAATTTTATCACTAAACAATATTACACAAAACTGCTTACAGGTCAAAAATGTATCTGGTTCCTAGCAATACTGCCCTATTGCATATTCTATCCGGAAAAAACGCCAACAAGAGATTTCCACTGAATGTGATATTCTATTAAAGTCGTAAACTCTGAAATAGTGAAACCTGAGCTGGCACACCCATGCAGGAAAATTTGTAGCCAATGCAGCTGAATGAAGCCAAACAGTTTGGGCTGCAGTGTTTGGCTGGAGCTGGATTGTTCAGATGTGGATGATTGTCACAGTGGAAATATGTATATCATCTATTATATTGGTACTACCTGCATATTCTTCTTTACAGAATGTTTTTCATGGCCACATTATTGGTAATAGTCCTGCTTTGTGTTCCTCAGCTGTTGTCATTGGGCAAGATCAGCCAGACCAAAGTGGCCAAACTGAAAACCAGCTACAGGCTTCTGCAGGAGACTCTGAAGCGGTACGTTTCCCTGTTTTCCTTTTGAAGCCATATTTGACTACAGAGATGCTGAAAGTACAGCATATTAGAGAAGCACGTGCAGAGACATCAGACCTGTGTTCAAGCCAGAATGCATCCAACTGAAGTGTCCTTGAAAAAGACTTAAACTCCTATCTGACGTATCTCTGCTGCTCTTATACACTGTTGTAAAAACATGGTGGTAGCGTCTGACACCAGCCACTGGCTTCACAAGACACATTTTGAAACCTAGATCAGGTTCATTATTTCTCACTCACTTAGTGGAGCCAAAAATGAAATAATGACTCGAGCAAAGAGGTGGAAGCAAACACGTCGCTGAGGCAGTAAGAAGAAGGTACAGCCACTCCAACTGTAACAGGCTGAGATACTGTTGCTGTCAAAGACATTTCCCAAAGCATAATTCTTTTCAAGCTTTATTAAATCCGTGGATGAACAGTTATTCTCAAAATTACCACCAAGACATAATAGAAGGAGTGAAATTAACGTTTGAGGCCCCAATTTCCCGTGAAAACGAGGGGAAAAAATCTGAATGTGCACATTAAATTTAACTAGCACAGTAATCAGAAGTATATCATGAAAATCAGCATCTAAAGTATAATTTACATGCCTATTGTACCACAAGTTTTTTGTGAAAAAAACGTATTCAGACTGTCGCTAAGATAAGTGAATGTGTTTTCACTTTTTCCTGAAAGCAGGTAGCAAAAGATAAGAAGATAAAATTTAGATGATTTACAAATTTTCAATGGTCAAATAAAAGTAAGCAGCCTCATCTTAATTTCCTGTTGATGACAGTAGTCTGAATCCTTCTTTTCTTTTGTATTTCACTGTTTTAAACTGGTTTGGGTTTACTACTGTAAATGTAACATCACATTACTTAAATCATTGTTTCATCTCAAAGTGCCCAGGACTCTGAGATCCAGCGTCTGGAAGAGGCAAAGAGGTGTTGTGCTGAGCTGCAGAGGCTGCAGAAGGAGGTGGAGACAACAGAGGAGCAGAGCACGTCTGAGGAGCCTGAAAGTGAGGTCAATGAACTGAGGCAACAGCTCCTCCAGGTGTACAATGAACTGAGAGCTGCTGAGGACAGAGAGTACAAGACACAACACCAACTGAAGTGGTGAGCTTTGTACATATACA